GAGAGGCTCTCCCCATCAAGTTGCTCGCCTTGCGAGGAAGTCCCTATTCCTTGCATTCCACACTTATAGCGATGGAATTTCTTAGTTTGAAGCCCGTATACCTTCCCCCATTTTGGACCGCCAGCAGCCTCCGTCCACATTCTTTCAGCATCCTCGTCCGAAGGTTGGATTGGCTCGCCCGACTCATTAGGTGGCTGACTGCGTATGAATTCCTCCACGCCAGCTGTGAAGCGACCCTATAAGAAAAATTACATTGAATTAGTATTTCAAAATTTATATAAAAGTAAATCAAAATACTCAATGAAAAGTGAAAACTTACATGTACAGTCGAGGCTCGGCCCTCGACCCACCTTTCTTGATCCGTCTCTTTCTTCTTCTTTACAATATGAGTCTCCTTGAATAGCTCATCTTGGTTCATTGGACGCCCCAACTTCTTTTCCTGAAAACTCATAAATTTTAGTTAATAAACAGAATAGATATACTTTGAAAATTAAAATAAATTAAGCAATTACGTACCAATCTTCTTTTTATTGTCCCTAGGCTGATTGCACCTCCAGTGTGCAAGGATCCTCCCTTCTCAAATGCGCGAGCTTTCTTTCCTTTTTCGCTCTTCTCTAAGAACTTTGCGGTAAGCCATTGCCTTTGCGAATCCTCCCATAAATTCTGAAGATACCAGTCAGGCTTCTGGTTCAACTTTCTAGCTTTGGAGAAACTATGCGACAACTGCTTGCGAGCTTTGTGATGAAAATTTGCAGCCACTTCCGCGCTATAGCGGTGTTCCCATACACACTTGTTCTATATTTCAAAAGTTAAATATTATATGGAAATATCATAAATATAAATAATTATACTGCTTAAAAGAACATTTATACCTTAAATTGATTGAAAATTTGCTCCTTCAGCGAGAATGAGAATTCACTCCAAGTCGCATAAGGGCCATCATAAAGCTTTCTGGTGGCTTTGGTGATTATCCTCGTAGTAATATTACTCGGGATGAACCTGCAATTTAATTAAAAAAAATACATTAATATCTTAGTACAAACTGTACAAAACAATAAACGTAAAATGTAATTCATTAACTCTGTTATAATACAAATAATGAATACAGTATCATATACCATAACATGCTATATATGTAGTTAAAGCAACATGAAGTGTGTGTGTTATATATATATACACACACTAACATATACTATAACAAGTTATATATACGTTATAGTATTACAGTGAAGTGTCTGTGTGTGTGTGTCGATACACACACACACACACACACACACACACACACACTTGGTCGGGTTATTTTAGAGATATATACACTTGTAAATTGATTCATCGACTTATAACGTACTCAGATGCATCATTGAATATTAAAAACAAAACGTCTCGACATGTAGAGTATATTTTAGTGTATTCATCTCTTGTATTACAAAAGTGTTAACGGATTATATTTATATTATTTAGATAGTAAATATAAAAGTGATTTTTAATTTTNCTGCTTCTCCTTTCGTCAGCGACCAACTTTGGTCGCTAATTTTAAATTATATTTATTTATATTTTATATTTTTTTTAAAATAATAATATAATTATTAAAATTTATAACTGGGTCCCACTTTAGCGACCAAAGTTGGTCGCTAATTTCAATATTTCTTTGACCAAGCAAGTCTGACCAGTCCGGTTAACATTTTGACCACATTATCGACCAAAAAGCGACCAACCTTGGTCGCTAATGTATTTACAATAATTATTTAATAATTTTCTCCAATTTAGTGACCAACTTTGATCGCTTTTCTTGACAGACTAATTTTAGTCGCAAATTATTGGTTGCTTTTTTCCGGATTTCTAGTAGTATTATAATTTAATTATATGGCCAAAAAGCTTTCAGGTGTGGCTCGAGTTGGTTCGTAAGATATCATAGAAAAGGTAGAAATGCCTATTGTACCTTTGGAATAAACGTTAATTCTAATCTTGATTTTTCTTTCAAAAAACTTCCTCAATTTTATTCCATATGACACTACTTTTTTTATCCATTCCAAGATCATCGACACATTTTTGTTTGCCACTCTTTAATTTTAACCTTCTCATTCCACCCTTAATTATATTAACATATATTAATGACATGAATATTAAGCTGTTGGTTTATTATATATATATATATTTACCTTATGTTTCATTTAAAAAAAAATCTTTTTTTTTCTTTTAAATTTTATGGGCAATCAAATACAGTCATAACAAATGAAGCCGAGGGAATACTATATACTTCATAATATATTTCAATTTTGGGAGAATATTTTACATGCAACTGCAAGGACAGATCAGAGAAATTTTGGAACTCCTATAACACCTATGCCACCATGAATATGGACCTCAAAATTAATACCTCTCTCCAGAAAACAAATTAAGAAAGAACAAATAATTCTATACTCTCCCGAAACCGAACATATCAAATGTACTAATTGAGACATACTTCACAACCTGAATTGAAAAGCAAAGAATCCAAATATAAAGAAGCAAAATCACAAGGCATGAATAACATCGGATTTCCTACCATTAAAGCCTCCCCGATCTTGTGAGGACTTGTTCAAGAACTCGATACAATCATCAATAGCTTCATTGTAATGAGAAGTTGATGAGTAATAATAAGAACTACACGAGGTCTTGGGCGGGTCAGGCCTATCACACGACCCACCGCCTTTCGCTCCCTGAGTCTGAGTAGATCTGGATGATACAAAAATTAAACGCATGAAAATCTTGCGAAAGCGATCAAAGATTTTCATGGCTGAGAAATTGATCAACTTATAAGACCTACTAAGTGTTTGAACAGTACTCTGAAATATTTCCAAGTCTTCTCTACTACTATTGTCTTGAACAGAAGCCTTAATATTAGAGTACATTATTATTATTATTATTATAATTCTCTTAGAAAATTAGAATATTACAGCCCACAAGAACACAATTTTAAGCCTCCGGGAAACGCAGTGTTATCATGTCTGTCGTATGCTGTTGCAAAAAGAGAGTGAAGTTTCCCAAAATGTTAAGAGTATATTGTCCAATTCTAGGTATGAGGATATATATTCACAAGGAAATAAATGATGTCTCAGCTTTCAGCCATGTGACCAAATCATTCGTATGGGCTTTTGATGTCTTTTCTCAATTGTTTATTAAGTTTGTTTCATTAACTTCCAAGTAATTAATGATCATATCTTATACCAAAACATTCCCTTTGAAATTCAAAGAGCTTATTTGAATAATCATAGAATCAATCACCGTGTCTCTTAACAGCATATCTCTCTCTCTATATATATTAAATTAGTAGTTTAGGTACACTTTCAGCTTAGTTGGATCTACCACTGTTATAGCGGTTGTTCGGCTCGGACATTAATAGCCTGTTTGGCCGAGCTTTTTTTTGGCCAAAAGTACTATTTATCAAAGTTAAGGATGTTAGGCTAAATTTTTAGAAGGAAAAAAATACTTTTGAGTAGAAACAAAAGTAGTTTTTGAGAAGCAGAAAAAAATAGCTTTTTCCCAAAAGCACTTTTTTAAAAGGCACTTTTGAGAAAATATACTTAGAAATACTTAAGTTTGGTCTACTACGTACTCAAAGTATTTTTTAAATTAATTAACCAAACACAAACTGTTTCTCAGAAAAAGTACTTTTTTTGAAAAATACTTTTGGCCAAATATGCTATAAGTAATGGACCAGATGCTTGGATTAAACTTGAAAAAACAAAATAATACTATCAAGTTTAACACCAGGAATTCATTAACCAACATATCCTTTATTTTTACATTATTGAATGTAAACTTTCAATGGTAATGGCAGGTACGTGTTACAATTTCATCATAAATAGTTAAATACTAAAGAACATTAGACGATAACAGAGTACAAACTCTTGCTTCCACATAAACCTTCCCAGGTTTGCAAAAATAGCCCTTCTTTGGTGCACAATGGCTATCATCTGAACAAATGCATAGTCCTTCTAAAGCACAACCTTCCTTAACAATGGACAATCCACTCTTTAACCCAAGAATTTGATCTGTCCATTCATTAGAAAATAACCCTAAAGGATCATAAGTTTCTTTCACCTTTAAAAACTTATCGGCATCCTTATACTTTTTAATCACATCAATGAAAGCCACATTACGATTCTTCCCCCAGTGAGGCTCTCCTCCATATTTAAACATCGCCATTTGCTCTATTTCTTCAAGAATATCTTCATATAACCTAGGAGTCAATGGATTTTTGCTTCTGTAATATGTTATATCAAAATCCACTGCATCTTCTTGATGTCCCAAGTAAGAATTCGAAGCTGTGACATACCTCATTAGGATTCCACTGTATAGGTCTAAACCACATAATGCCTTAGGTTGTAACACCACGAGTTTTTGCACATCTTGTATAAAGTTTTTTACTTTGGATAAGCCAATACTGAATGTTGTTTGGTGAAAAAATAGACCCTTTATTCTTGGATCCCAAGGGCATACTAAATCGTCAAGAATTCCATCATTGATTAGGCAACTGCCAGATGCTTGTAGACGATTTTGTGGTCCGATCAAAGGATAGCCCGTGAAAATAATACCTATATATATAAGAATAACTTTAGTTTTCAATCTAAAAGTTTTCTTCACAAGCTAGATAATAAGTAAGTGGTCAGGCACATTTGGTACGACGAAAATTATTTCAAAAAATATTTTTCATGAGGAAGTCATTTTCCGTGTTTTGTGGACAGAATATGTGTTCAACTGAATTTTTTTTATCAAATGGTGAAAAGTGACTTCCAAAAAAATGCTTTGCTCGGTACTCCCTTTTTTTTTTTTTCTTTTTTCATATTTGAGGTCTCCTTTTAAAAACATATGACTATAAATTTTAACAACTTTTTATCTGCTTTAGAGTTAATAATTTATTAAATTTAATAAGTTTTTTAATAATTTTAATTAACAAACATCAATTTAAAATACCAAAAATACTAAATTCTACTTATTTTCCTAAATTTTACAAATTCAAAATAATTTTATTTTTACAAGCTAATTATTGTCGACAATTACAATTAGAGGAGAACTATAAACTAAGCTGGATTAATAACTTCTTTAATATAAGAATTTTGGAACTATGAAAATATACTACATTTAAACAAATGAAAAAAAAATAAAAAAAATAAGTGATTTGTAAACCACGAGAAAGAGACAAGCAAAATACTTTAAAAGTTTTCAAATAAACAAGTGTGAAATTGAGATAGAAGAATACTCTAACAGATAGAGAGAGAAAAAATTCACATATATATATTTAAATAAATAAAATAGTGTAATATCTTAGGCATTGGGTCTTTAAAAGATTAATTCAATAGTTTTATTCTTAGATAAATCTTCCAAAAACTAAAATAGTAAAGTTGGATTGTGGGTCTTTTAAATCTACCCATTATTGGAAAATTCAAAATATACGTGAAAGGGTAAGACTGGATCCCTTGACCTTGTACTCTTGAAAGTGACCACGCATGAACCATTGCACCACACCTCACTTTTCAAGAGGGTTCAACGTTCCCACTTTAACATCATTTGGTATTTGAAAAAATAATTTACATATAAAATAGTATTATTTTTTTTATAAAGCGGGTTCAACTGAACCCGTTTGAACCAATGGGGGCTGCCCCCGGCAACCAAACATCGAAAAATATTTTTTGTAAATATTATTCTTATGGAAAATGACTTTCATCGCATCAAACACACTTTCAGTCTTCCTCCACGATACAATATCTTCGATTTGAAGTTATGTTTGGGTTTCTATGTGCAAAGATTTTTTTTTGGAACCCCAGGAAAACCCGCAGTCGCTATAACCTCTGCCCTTCGGATGACCACTCTGTGTGCACTTGATAAATCTCCCATTGTGTAATAGACTGCAAACCACACATGAAATTTAAACCGCACTAAGGAAGTCCCATGCGACATACTCAGACCCAAAAGACATTGAGGATGGATCAAACACTCGTCGTCGTCCGTGCGGACAACTTCCTCCAAACCCACTGGGCCGTCCCTTCGGGACATGTGCAAAGATGTTAAAACATAAAATCTGCAAACTTATTTTCTAATGGGACATTTTGCTGTCGGATTAGCTGTACCAACAGGTGGATGCAGAGACTAGCTGTAATATTCCTTTTTAGTTTTGCAAATAAGAGAAGGATCCCAATATTGTTCTTTATGAATAGTCTTTTTTAATAATATATAATTTTCTTATGCGACATCTATAACAAATAAGTCACTATTATACATGTTTTTTCCCTTGTATAGTTTGCAGTACATCTGAATGTCTGGCTTTACTGTAGATTATATTATTGCTTTTGGTTTTATTTGGCCGACTGAAAATGCTGTGGGAAAATACAGCAACTCTTTATCTTGAAATTTAACACATTATAATCTCTCAACAATAATTCTCTTAATCACGTAATATATTATATATATGCTTAACCGAGCTGAAATAGTTCGGCTATGTGAAGAGAAGGAGCACATATGCCTCAGTGAGGAGGTGTGAGATCGAAAAAGAACTGCGAAGAGGTGATTAGACAGGACATTACACATCTTCTCTTTACTATTTTTGCTGGCTATACTTTTTTTTTTTCTTTTCTTCAGTATTTTCATCACATATTATTTTACTTTTGTATTTTTCAAACTCGTTTAAAAAATTCTTTTCTGAGCCAAGAATTTATTGGAAATTAAACAACGTTTCTATCTTACATAAGGTGAGGATAAAGTCTGCATATAACTTGCTCTCTCCAGATCTCACGTATGAAATCAGGCTAGGTATATTGTTAGTGTAATTGTTAAGTACAACATACGCAAATGTTCTGGACATTCTAATGGAGATTTAGAGATACTCACCATTGTTTGTGTACCCATACTTAGCTGTGTCCAATAACGACTTGGTGAGTTTTCCACTTATGCATTTTCCATCAGAATCACGTAGAGCTTCTTGAGTCTCCTCTATTTAAAAGATTTAAGAGGATAGATGTTAAACAACATAACGAAAAAACATATATATAAATATTTATTAATATTAATCTCCCTTGTACATTATTTTTCATTTGAAAGGTGTGATTTTATCCCTTATCAGAGGCGGAGCTAGAAGGTAAGCTAGTAACTGTAGTCTAAACTCTTTACTCCCTCCTTTTATATTTACTTGTCTACTATACTAAGAAAAGATATCCACTTTTATTTGTCCAGTAAGGAAAACCAAGAGATAATTTACCATTATATATCTATTTAACCCTTATCATTTTCTATCATTTTGGATTTATAACTGTCAAAGTTAGTTTTCCAATAGTTAAAATTAGGGGTGATATAGTCTTAAGGAACGTACCTAGTCAAACATGGACAGAAAAAAACAGAGGGAATATATTATTCATAAATCAGTTATTAACACGTGACCATGTCACTATCCTGAAATTTAAAATTCACAAAATTTAAATCTTGACTCCGTCTCTATCTCTAATAACACAAATAAGAAGAATTTGATCAATAATGTTGTGAAGTTTAAACCAATTAATTACCTGAGGTTCTCATAGATGAAAGAATAAGTGGAGAAGTGGGTCGGAATCCAAGATAATCATTTAGAGCATTGCCAGAAGAGCTTAAGGGAACTCGATTATCAATCCTGTAAAGCACTGTTTTTTGACTTGGGAACCAAGAGAAATCTGCAAATTCATGTTTTCTTCCAAAGGTGATGACTTCATCTCCCAAATTTGAATCACTCTTTTCTACAAAGGCGATATTACGTTTGAACATTGGTTGTAATTTGAAAGTAACCTACATATATAAAACAGAGAAGCTCGTTCAGTATCGTATGCAGGATTTTAGTAAACAGTGTCAACATTTGAAGAAATGAACGAATGAATAAATCATTATAATAACAACAGTGTCCTTTTTTATGTTGTATACAGGGGCGGTGCTAGAGTGTTGTCAGCGGGTTCGGCCGAACCCAGTAGCTTTGGTTCAAATCCTGTATTTGTCTTAAAAAATCCATTGAATATGTATATATTATTAATTTAGAATCCGGTAACTTAAAACAATTAGAATCCCGAACCCATAATCTTGAAATCCTGGCTCCGCCTCTGATTGTATACTATCTATATATACATCTTTAATAAAAAATTTGACGAAGCAGTATCACGTCCGCTTGCCACAAAGTGTATCTGCCCCTGAGCTTGTTAACGTCAAAAAAGGGTAGAAGGGTCCATAGTTCCCTCATACTCTTTCTTTCTGTATTTGGATTTGAAAAATTAACTCATATTTTTATATTTTACCTCGTAATCTCATTTTTTATATAAATAACCAAACGGCTGATAAAAATAATCTTTGTATTACAATATCTATACTACTAACTCATATGCTAATTAATAATCTTTGTGTTACAATCTCTACCTAACTTGTTTCTAAACGAAACGACCCCTAACAAATCTATTAGTTGGTGTGAAATGAGTTGTTATGGTATGCACGCCCATTATATTTAATGTTATAAACAGTGGTCAACTGATTGTAAATTTCCAACTAATTATTGAAGCTAACATATGAATTAAAAATTATTTCAATATTTTAATATTAAAATTTAGATATTTAAAATAAAAACTATACAAAAAGTATTATAATTTACAATTGCTTTATCAATGCGATGAAAAAATACATATTAAAATATTAAATGCTTAAAATTTATATAATTTAACTCTCGAAAAACAAAACTTAATAGTATAACTGAATGAGAACGGAAGGGAGTAACAATACTAATCTTCTAAAACCGTGTTAAGAAAGGCGGAGGCATTTATTATATATATAATATGTACATAATCAACATGAAGGGATGTAAGTACCAAAGTCAATAAGAAAGGATTAAAGTTCTTAGTAAATGTTAAACTTGTCCTTAATTGTGTAACAACAAAGAGAGCAAAGCTACTCTCCATGTCATTTGGTATTGCATGGGGTTTTATATAGGTATACTTCAAGGGGGTAACAACAACATCGTATTAAACTTGTAACATGGATAGTTTAGGTTTTTTTGGTATTAACTCTTAATTAAACCATTTTAAGGAACAAGACAACAAGTTAATCATTTTCTAGTTAGTAACAAAAGTTCGATGAAAAGTCGTAAATTTTGAGAACAATTCAACCTATCCTTATTCACGTATACTCTATCACAAATGATACAGAAATGTACTCAAATTAGTTCCACTTCCTACCGACAACTATAAAGGGAGTTTGGCATAACTGGTAAAGTTATTGTCGTGTGATCAGGAGGTTATGAGTTCGACTGTGGAAACAACCTCTTGCAAAAGTGTAGGTTAAGACTGCGATAGACTCTTGTGTACCGGCCCTTCTCCGGACCCCGCGCATAGCGAAAGCGGCAACTATATTTTACTATGAGATTTTACGTCACTCCTGATAATTTCAGAACATGTTGCATATTACAGATATATAATTAAGAAGGAAAGTAAGGTGATTTATATATATACCTGTGAAATGACTCCAAGAACTCCAAGTGACAATTTAGCTGCATTAAACTCAGGATTAGCAGTGTCAAGGGTCCGAACTTTTGCATAGCCTTCTTCTTCTGTAGCTGGTGTGACGATCCGAAGCTCAACTACATAGTTATTCACTGCACTTCCCAGACCCCAAAGAGAGCTGCCATGTGCACCAGTACCTAGCAAACCACCAACACTCATTCCCCACCAATAAGGCGAATGAGGCAGCGCTAGGTCAACCTGCGCTGCCTCATCGATCAAATCCCTTAGTATTAGTCCGCTATCCACCCTCATCTTCATGTTTTGTCGATCCATCATCTGTACCTGTTGAGACATAGTATAATTAAAATAATTTAAAAGGTGTAATTTCTAATAGTTTAAACATTACATGTGATGGTCACACAATGAAGTACGAAAGTATGTAGTACCTTATTAAGGAGTTTTGTACTGATAATGAGACCATCATCCTCACCAGGACAAACCAACTTAGGAATACTCTGAGAGTAGCGAGTCGCTACTCTCATTTTCCTTTTCTCCTTAGTTGCTTTTCCTACCGCAGAGATGAGTTCTTCTTCTGTGGTAGGATAAGCGACTTCAGCTGCACGGCAAATGCTCCGATCCGGAAATGAGCCATAGATATTTGTGATGGTGCAGTTTGAATTTTTTGTTATACACTTGATGGGATCTTGAGGAAGGCTACCTTCAACTAAGTAAATCATGATCAAGAAAATGCAGTATGATGTCAGAATTTGGCGTACAACGCCGTTTGGAAAACGTACGTTTTTCATGATTTATTGGTGATTTTCGTCCTTGTTCATTTCTTTCTAAGGGAGCCAATTCCAATATATAGACAACTGGACAAGTAGTACTATTAAAGAGGATAATAGACTGGGTTTCATATATTTGACCAGTGGATACATGTTGTGGTGGATATGTGTCACATGGGTTTAATTTCTTAAAATATATGAATGATGACTTTCAATGTTAAACCACAGAAAAGTTTTTCAGGGATTGTTGTTAAAGTTGATATAAATATTATCCCATTTGTTTCATATTTGTATAAATATTATTCCATTTGTTCATTTTCTGTACGATGATGTTTGACTATTAGACAGTTTGATTAGCACGAAAAAAAGCTTTTTCCCAATACCAAATTAAAATATACCCACTTGAGATTCTAAATATACCATGATATTTTTATACTATAAAACTATACCTTGTGGGTAATTTCATGTGTGATACCTAAATAAATGCTACGTTGAACAACAGGGACGGCCTAAGGCTAAGGCAAATGAAGCCTGTATGGGTCAAAATCCGATCTCACGGTAATTAACGGAGTTAATTTCGTCTTGAGCTAATCCATAATTAATAAGTGGTATGGCCACTTATTCATAACAGGATTCGACTCTTGTCCGATTTAATCTACGAGGGCACGGCCCAGTTATTCCCCCGTGGGGACGGAACCTCAGCGTGGCCACGACCATTTATTGCCAGCTCACGAAGCTCACATCTATAAATACTAAGAGTGGAAGCCCTAGAAAAGGGGCTGCTTCTTGACCACCATTCACAATAGAGAGAGAGAAGAGAAAAATATACCCCTCTTATGGGAAGAGAAAACACCATTGTAAGGCTCTGAACCTCTTTATGGAGAGGCAGACCAAACCATTATCAATAAAAGCTGTTAAGATTTCTTCTCCTAACCTTGAGTACTTATTTTCATGTTCTTCGCTTGGTCCAATGGATTATTACGATTTGCTATGATTTTCCCGTAACTTATTTGTATTGTTTTGCACTCATAAAGCACATGATAACTTTTGAGCCAAACAATTTGGCGCCGTCTGTGGGGATTTCATAGCAAAATCGCGTAGTTCTTCCATGGACCAAAAGGAAAGAAACGCCGGAAAAGGAAGAACAACCCAACAAGCCAAAGCGGCATATCAGGCCGATGGAACTCGAAGATCTCGAATCGAGATCCAGTTTCTCTGTCTCTCATCTATCGGATGGTGCAAACAAGAAGAAGCAGCCCCGCATAAACAAGCCAAAGCGGCATATCAGGCTGATGGAACTCGAAGATCTCGAATCGAGATCCAGTTCCTCTGTCTCTCATCTATCGGATGGTACAAACAAGAAGAAGAAGCCATCCCCCCTCTCTTTTGGGGAGAATCTTCGTAAGAGATCTCCCACATCCCTGATAAGGGCTCTAGCCGGAAACCAGCACGGAGGAATCTCGAATCGAGAATCGCTTCGAGACAGCCTACATACCCCGGTTGGGAAGACAACGATTAAGCTGCTCAAGATCTCGAATCAAAACCGAGCTTCAGCTCCCAAAAACCCACGAACCAAAACAGTTCAACTACGGTTGAACCAAGACAGGCTATGCGCCTTCACCAGCAAGTTCAACTACGGTTGAACCAAGACAGGATATGCGCCTTCGCCAAAAAGTTCAACTACGGTTGAACCAAGACAGGCTACGCGCCTTCACCAAAAAGTTCAACTACGGTTGAACCAAGACAGGCTATGCGCCTTCGCCAAAAAGTTCAACTACGGTTGAACCAAGACAGGCTATGCGCCTTCGCCAAAAAGTTCAACTACGGTTGAACCGGGACTCAGGCTATGCGCCTTCACCGAAAAGTTCAACTACGGTTGAACCAAGACAGGCTATGCGCCTTCGCCAAAAAGTTCAACTACGGTTGAACCAAGACAGGCTATGCGCCTTCGCCAAAAAGTTCAACTACGGTTGAACCGGGACTCAGGCTATGTGCCTTCGCCACACAAATTCAACCACGGTTGAACCAAGACTCAGGCCATGTGCCTTCGCCATTAAATCCAACGAGCTCGACCTCGCTCGAACTACAAGGATGGACGCCTTCGTCCTCAACTTTAGCAAGTTCAACCACAGTTGAACCGAGACTTAGGCCAAACGCCTTCATCTGTGAAAGCAAAGCCCGACCTCCAACAAATCGAAGCGCAGGATAGGCACCCTCGCCATTCAAGTAAGTTCTCCCAACTCGAATTAAGATTCGGGCCACGTAAAGTTCGGCCCCGGTCAAACTACAAGGCCGCGTTTCTGTCATAACGGCCGACAGTTCGACCGTGCCCGAACTGGGACTAAGGCTTAGTGCCGCTATCGCCAAACTACAAGGCCGCGTTTCTGTCATCATGGCCGACAGTTCGATCGCGCCCAAACTGGGACTAAGGCTAAGTGCCGCTATCGCCAAGCAACGGCTCCGACTCGCTCACCCCGAGTCGAAGAAGAAGAGTCGTCAACAATTAAAAACTAACATGCCTACCAGAGTCGAACTCGAAGGCAAATCACCCCTTCGAGCGCATGCAAAGAAAAATCTAAGGGGGAAAAAGAGGAGATACAAAACAGACACAAGGCAAATAACGGAAAGGAGATCTCATTTATCTACAAAGTTAATTGCGGGTCTTCCCCGCTTACACCCGGCCAAGGCCGATCAATACAAGGAAAGAGAAAAGAAAAACAAGAAAAAATGCATATCTTTTTACTCGGCACCATCCGCGCCACCATCTGCACCAGTGTCAGCCTCTGGCGTCGCCGCGTCAAAACCACAGTCGGTACGAGCCTCACGAGCCTTTTGACGTGCTCCTTCGAAAGCAGCTTCGGTCACGATGCCGGCCTCCCACAAATTCTTATATACATCACGTTGGGCCTCGGCAAAGACCCAAAGCTCTCGAGCCTGGCTGGAAGAAGCAGCTTGATCCCGTAGGCGCTGATTCTCTTCTTCTAAGGCTGTGATCCGGTCCGCCATGACTTGGGCGTCCTGCTCAAAGACACCGATCCGCTCCTCGAGACTCACTTCTCTAAAGGCCGCAGCATCCCTCTCCAATGCCCGTTGGGATTCGTGCATGCGGATAGCTTCCTTCAACGCCTCAGCCCTCGACGAGGCATCCCTCACTTGAAGCTTCAATACCGCGACTTCACCCTCCAACGCAGTCACTTTCCCGCTCCATGCCGCGGCGGCCTCCGCCGCCTTAACCTGGCCCTGGCACTCATGCTCATCTGCAGTCCTTCTCCCCGCCTCAAGCTCCTCATCCTTCCGCTGGAACTGCTCCTCGAGAGCACTCGCTCTGCCAAGTGCTTGCTGCATCTGTACCTCCCGCCTCGCCAGTTCCTCGACCAAGGTCCGACTACGGGATCGATCTTCAAGCGCAC